TTCCCATAAAAGCCTACTGCGCAATATGGTCCGAAATAGGACACAGAGAGCCAAGCTGTCTTCTCTCACCTGTGAACACATGGAAATCTCTCTTTGCTTTGAGGAAGTCTGGACTTTGGGAAACAGGCAATATGGGAACCCCATATGAGAAGGATGTCCAAGGATATAGCCAATCCTAGCTATACACAGGCTGGAAGGAAGGTCACAGTGTGGGGAAGCACACGACACAATTGGAATGTCTGTAAGGATTCTCAAAAGGTCGAGAGCCTCTGAGGGGAACTTGCCGAAGGCGGCAGCTCCTACCTTGACTTTTCCAAACAAGTCCCATCCCCCAGGGTGTTTTGCTAGAATCTCTATGTTTAGTCTTTAAAGACTCGACCTTGTAGAAGCATATACTTTCTCAAGGATACTTATTCTGCTGATTGTATCTAGAGGTTAATTTTAGTTCAAGCTGTGTTACAATAAAAGACAAAGGAGGCAGGCGAACAGGGCTACCTGGCGGTGATAGCCACGTAGTGCCTCAGCCTCTCTATCACAGAAACGTGTGTTAGAGGAATCATTCATCCGCCGTTCAGGGTCTGCCGGTCAGCCCGGCATCACAGAATTCTTACTGCAATTCCCCTCCCCCACATTCCCATGCTCATCCCAATACTTGAGACTGATGTTATGTTTAAGATGAAATTGAAGGTAAGAGCCACTTTTACTCACTACTGGTGAAGGTGACATTGACAGAGTAAGACTGCCCTTTCTGCAGATGGCAGGGCTGAATGGGGCATGGGATCACATTCACTTCCTTTATAACTCCAACCCCGGAACCTGCAAAAGAAGAAAAATGAGTTGAAATAGGAGAAAAAATAAACCACATAGGTTATCCCTACCTAATGTGAAGACGCTCTATTCTCCCAGTTAGGGTGAGCTCTTTCTCCTTTGACCATCAGCGATCTCCAGGGAACTGCTCATATTTGATGCGTGAAGGGGAATTAAGGAAATTAAGTATATATAGCCACTCCACTGCACTATAACCTGGGAGGTCTATACCATGAAAAATCCTCCCCCAACCCCCCTGACAAAACCCCCCCCACCCCCCCCCCCCCCAGATTTTAAAGCAGCACACATATCGTACAAGTGATGGCTCAAGTCCCAGCACTACTGCTTCCATTTGGAATCTTGACGCTGGCTGCTCCCAAACTGCCCTCCCTCACCATCTTTCAATCCAGTACTGGTATCTCTCCAAATTAGTGGTCTCCAAGCTTTGTATACGCCCACCAATAAGAACAACTTTAAGCATTCATCTCCAATACACAGATGTGTACACTCCACTTTGGAAACCTGTGTTCTTCAAAATAAGTATTTTGGGGGCAAGGTATGTGTCCTTTAAAAAAAAAATTCAGTCTAAAAAAGGACAAAAGTACTATCTGTTCACAATAAATGCTTGATCAGAAAAGGTAAGGCACAAATCATTAAAAATGCCGTCATCTCACTCAGGCCCCAACACTGGACAGTTGAGTGGGAGAGAATGCAAGAGAACTGCCTGTTAACATTGCCTGTAACAGGGTAAGGGCAAGCTCTGGAATTCAGCCACCACTGTTGAGAGGTAGACTCTGAGACCTGATGCCTGGGTTTGAAATCTTACTAATCTCAATAATGGCTCCATTACTTACTGTGTAACCTCAAGGCAAGATACTTAACCTCTCTGGGGATAGTATCGGTACCTACCTCATAGAGCAGGTGAGCTAACACACATGTAGCTCTGAGATAAGTGTTTGGAACATAGTCATGCTATGCAGTATGTTCCCTTTATCCACAGTTTCTCTTTCTGCGGTTTTGGCTAGTTACTCATGGTTAACTGTGGTCCAAAAAGATTAAATGGAAAATTCCAGAAATAAACAATCTGTAAGTTTTAAATTGAGAATAGCATCTCTCACCCAGGACATGACTCACCCCTTTGCTCAGCAAGACACTTAGCATCTGACTGCCCCCGTATTACAATGCTTGTGTTCAAGTCACCCTCACTTTACTTAATAATGGGATGGCCCCCAAGAACAGTATTGATGCTGGCAATTCATATATGCCAAAGAGAAGCTGTATAGTGCCTCCTTTATGTGAAAAGGTATGTATGTATGAGAAAAAACATGGTATATAAGGGGAGGAGGGGAGACAACAAAAGTAGGCTTACAATGGTAAGTACACAAAACAGAGTTTATTCTTGCGTTACTATTTATTAATTATTGTATTATTTCCTATATGAACACCTGTAAACCTAGTTTTGCCTACCTTGCATAGGGTTCGGTGCTATCCACGGTTTCAGAAATCCACTGAGGGTCTCAAAACATATTCCCCATGGATAAAGGGGGGCAGCCATATAACTATTTACTAATTATTGTAATCATACCAGGATTCAGTCCATAAATTTAATCTAGAGTAGCTGCTCCCGGATGTCTTAGCATGTTCCCTTTTGCCACACAAGGTGGGCCTCTCATCTCAAATACACTTTGTGGGTAGAAATTAGGGATCCCGGTGACAGAGTAGACTGTCTCTAAAGTAGAATGCATGAAGACAGAAAGCAAACTGAAGGCTGAGAGCATGTTATTTGCTTTGTCGTCACCGTCCTGTAGGATGTGAAGTGAGAAGCTCAGGTGGATGGCCTCTGCTCTTGGGCGTAACAGTCACCATACTGACCAACACTGCTCCAGCTAGTCTGTAAGTACCGTATCCCCAGCTTGTTTCTCCACCATGGCAAAGTTCTCAAACTCTACACTCAAGAATTCTCTTCTCTAAGCACTCTGTACCACTCTGTCATAACCTCCATGGATGATGGGGCGGGGGGGCGCAGTGGAGGGGGGACCCAGAACTTTAATCAACAGCCTATTGAAAATCAGTGCTTATACCAAAGCTTTCTGAATCTAGCTTTTCTGCCTGCTTCTTTCAAGGCTCTGCGTCACATGATCTTCAAGGAACTGAGTAAAGGATGGTACTTGTAGCTCCTTCATCCAGTTTTTCAGCTGACAAGAGGTTCTTGCACTCCCAATGTCAACAGAACAAACTCCTCAGTCCTAACCTGCAAAAATTGCAAAACTAGTTTGCCTGGCCCTATTTCTCACTTGAAGAGATGCCACTCCACACAGTGGAACTCAAAAACTTTTGATGTGGGCACTGAAGTTTTTACATTGTATTTCCCAATTCAAAAGTAAATTGAAAATCTGTAGCGGAAACCCTCCTTCCCTTAAGAAGTTCTTGCCGTAGGCATACACCTGCTTTTTTCAAAGGAGTAGAACAATGTTTGGATTTAATTTTTTTTTCAAGGTTACCACTAAAACCCAAAGTGGCTCAAAAACACACACTAGTTTCTTATTGCTTATTAGTTGCGCGAACTTGGGCAAGGTACTCTATGTGCCTGTTTCCTCATCTAGAAAACAGATTATGAGGGTTGAACGAGTTAAGACAGTGGCTTCATCCAAATGTTGGCCACTAAATTTAATGGAGGGAAAGGAACAGCATTTGTTAAGTAATAACAGGCCAACAGTCTTTATTCCTTCATCAATCTGTCCCCTGGCCCCCAACTTTGCTTTGTTGAAAAAGTAAATGAGGGGACACTTTCCCACTCTGTCATCAAAATTCATGTCGAAGCAAAAGCAACGTTGGGAGCCAGGGGACAGACTGATGAAGGAATAAAGACTGTTGGCCTGTTATTACTTAGTAAATAGCATTTGCTATTACTTGGGAACTGGATATAAAGGAGCAAACTTATGCTGGTTTCCATTCTGCTCTGTTACTTTGGTTAAGTTACCTAACATCTCTGGAATTCAATGACTGACTATAGGATCTCCAAGTTTCCTTCTAGCTCACGAATTTTGTAAAATCAGTTTCATGCCTTGCACTTATCATTATACCGCTTCACTTC